AACTTGCATAATCTTGTTCATAAGAGGGAAAGAAGTGACAAAATGAAGAGGTGAATAGAGGGAAAGAAATGAATTTCGTTTGAGTGACCACTCAATCATATTTCAGCTATTTATCTTTTCAATTACACTTTCTATCATTCAGAGATTAAAATATGATTCCTATACTCTTGGCAAGAGATATGGGCTTTAGAGGGGAACATAAAAAAACCATACCCGCCCTATCTCACCAAACCTTTTGCGGTATTATCCATACCCTCCTAATAACTAGTCAATATAGTAACTCTCACATTGACTGAGTCTGAGGCGGTTAGTACCCATTTATGAGGATTAGAGTAGCATCCTAATCACACAAAGCACAAAAAGTTTCCCATAGGTAGGGGTGGGCAAATTGTTCGGTAAACCCGAACCGAAACCGAATTAAATCGAATCGAAATCGAAATAATGCTATTTGGTTTGTAATTCGGAAGGAAAATATGGATATTTCGGAAATCAGGGTTCTTTCAACCGAACCGAATTTCCGAATTTCCGGCCAAAAAACCAAAATACTATAATTGCAACCTCCAAATGGTGGATTTTTATGTTTGTAGTTATTTTTAGAGATAAATATTTGAAATATTTTATGATTTAAGTGTTGAAAAGTTTGATTTTATCATTGATGATGCATATAATTGCATATTTATTGTTTATATTAGGGGTGAAAAATAATTTAAAAGTGAGAAGATACAAGTAGCCTCACAAATTCGTTTGTGTGAAAACCGAACCGAATTATAATTCGGTTCAAACCGACCGAACGAAATTTTAATTCGGTTCAATTTTTTTTTTTTTTTTTGACAAAAGATAATCTTATATTGATTCCAAGAAAAGATAATTACATCATGGATAACAGCCAGGCCTGAAAATTAAAAGTACGACTCATAGTTGGGTACAAAGAGAGGGCTTTCCTAGCCACCAAATGGGCTACCCTATTGTTACTCCGACCTACGAAACGAACACTGAACCCAGGGTTACTATCAAAAAGATTTACCACTTCCTCCAATACAGCACCCATCCTACTATCTCTTGAATCCCTATGCCTGATTTTGTCAATGACCACTTTGGCATCCCCTTCAAACCTAACAGAGGCGAAACCTTGACCCAAACACCAGAGAATAGCCTCACGCAGAACCATCAGCTCCACTACCGCGGGATCATCTATGACAGGGAAATAAGCCCCACTGGCCCTTAAGACGACTCTAGAAGGGGTCAGAAGAACCATGCCTCCGGCCGAGTGCGATCCCCGCCTCGTGGCACCATCCCATCCACAGATAACCTCAAAAGACCCCACCAATGAAGACTCATGGACCCCTAATATCGGGTTCCGGGGACCGTCCTCCATTGGCAGGCGCGCCCATTCCTCAATCTGCTGCGTATACTGCCTCATGAGCGCCGGAAGACCAAACTGTTTGCCTTCAAACACCACCCAATTACGGGACTTCCAGATCCGCCAGAGAACCGCAACAATTGCTATCCACATCGAAGGCTGATGCACTAAAGCCAGCAGCTTCTTAAGGAATAGAGGAAAGGTGTGCCGTGGCAAACCCTCCCCAAGGTGTTCCAAACCAGCCGCCCCCCATAGGGCACGCGCAACCGGGCAATCTAAGAATAAATGCTCCAAGGTTTCAGGACCTCCCCAACAGACCGGACACCTAGACAGGACTGGTATACGACGACTAATGAGAGCCTCAGTGGTAGGCAAGATCCGACTGAAAACCTGCCAAACAAACACCTTTAACTTAGGTGGGATGTTGGCCTCCCACAGCCGAATCCAACTGGTCCTATCCATCCAATCCACCGTCGCCTTCCAACGGCCCCTTCTTTTCTCCAAAGAAACTGCCAGATGGTAAGCCGATTTGACCGAGAACTCCCCATCCGCTGTATCATGCCAAATGAGCTTATCTTCCACATTTTCCCGCGGGAGAGGGATGGCTTGAATGATACGGCATGTCACAGGATCAAACCACTGACTAAGCTTTTGGCTACACCAACGCCCCTCCCCTTGACAAATTAGCTCCGCCACCAGTGGGTCCCCCCCATTTGGCAAAACCTGAGGATTATACCGTAAGGGCTCAAACTGAAATTCCGGGATCCAAGTAGAATGGAGCATAGATACCGAGCGCCCATTTCCGACTTGCCATCGTATACCCATCTCTAAAAGCTGGCGTCCAAACAGGATACTTTGCCAACCCCATGATGGCCTAGATCGAGCTTTGGCAGTGAGAAAATGTCCATTAGGGAAATATTTACCCCGATAGACTTGGGCCAGCAGGGAATTAGGTTCACTGAGGATACGCCACCCAATTTTAGTCAAGAGCGCCTGATTAAAATGCTCAAAACGGCGAAACCTCATCCCCCCATCATGCTTACTTCTACACATATCCCGCCATGACATCCACCGCACCTTCGGATGCCCATCATTCTCACCCCACCAAAACCGGGCAACATGCCTATCTAAAAGGCGACACAAGGACAAAGGGAGTTTAAAACACGACATCACATGCAATGGCAAAGCCATAGCAATAGACTTGATGAGGGTTTCTTTGGCTGCCCAAGAAAGCGTCCTCTGTTTCCATCCCTGCAGTCGTTCCAACAATTTGGTTTCCAGATAACGAAAAGTCTCCATTTTAGATCTAGCAATCAACGATGGGAGACCAAGGTACTTATCATGGACTCCGACGGCCCCCACCCCCAGAACTGCCGCCAAGAAATCTTGATCTTGTTGCACAATATTCAGACTGAAACAAACCGCCGATTTGGCAAGATTCACTCTCTGGCCACTTAATTCCTCATATTCATTGAGGACCTCAATAAGGTTCTCGCACTCCTGAAGAGTGCCTCTCAAGAATAAATAGGAATCATCGGCAAAGAATAGATGTGACAGTCTGGGGGCCCGTGGAGCCACTTTAATCCCGGCCAGTCTCTTATATGAAATCGCCTTCCGGAGCAGCGCTGCGAACCCCTCAGTACATAGCACAAAAAGGAGATGAGATAAAGGATCTCCCTGACGCAATCCTCTGGAAGAAAAGAAATAACCAGACGGAGTGCCATTCATCATAACCGAAAACGATGCAGAACTGAGGCATTCCTTGATCCATCCTACCCAAATAGGGCTAAAACCCAATTTTTCCAAAACCGCAAGAAGAAAAGGCCATTCGACTCTATCATAGGCCTTTTCCATGTCAACCTTTAGGGCCATGAACCCTTTCTTCCCCCGAGTTTTGGTTTTCAAATAGTGCATGAGCTCATGCCCCAGTAGGATATTATCTACTATTTGACGCTCCTTAATGAAACCATTCTGACCTTCCGAGACCACATGGGGGAGGACAATGGCCAACCGCTGTGCCAAAATCTTGGTTATGATCTTGTAAACAAATTGGCATAAGCTGATAGGGCGCAATTGCCGCATTGTCTCCACATTATCCACTTTAGGGATTAACGTGAGCCATGTGTGATTAAAACTGCGGAGCAGCTTTCCCGAAGTAAAAAAAGAGCAGACTGCATCAATTACCGAGGGCCCCACAATGTCCCAGAAGGCCCTGAAGAATTTGCCAGTAAAGCCATCTGACCCAGGGGCCATTTTGGAGCCCATAGTAAATACAGTTTTGCGCACTTCTTCAGGGAGCACGGCAGCCGTTAAAGCCTCATTCATTGCTAGGGTGACACTCTGGGCAATGGGTAGGTCATGCAGCCGACTATGCATGTCTGGGATCTGGTTTTCAGAAGTGAAAAGGTCACTACAGAAATTAGTAGCAATATCCGCTTTACCTTTCTCTTCCGTGATCCACTCGCCATTATCAGCCCGAAGCCCACTCACAAAGTTTCTCTTCCGGCGGGTCCTCGTCACCGTATGGAAATACGAGGAGTTTTTGTCCCCCCTTTTTAGCCAACGGACCCTAGACTTTTGTTGCCAGTATGCCTCCTCCGCCTCCCATTGCCTATTCAACTCAGTCTCAAGGCCACGGACCTCATCCCAATTAATGGGATGATCTTGCTTGATTTTATCAATTTCTGCCTGCAGAGTCCTTATGTTACGCAAAGAATTTGTCGTTCCTGCTCTACTCCAGTCATACAGCAAGTGACGAAGTTCAAATTCGGTTTGAGGTCTGGGAGAATTCGGAGACCCGGTATTCATAATTTCGGTTCGTTCGAAACCGAACCGACCGAATGCCCACCCCTACCCATACGTAAGATCTCATGTGCAATATCTACCAATGGTAAATAGGGGTGTGCAACGGTCCAATCAGAACCGAATCGGACCAAACTCAAGAGAACTGCGACCCAATTGTAAGAGACACCTATGGACCAAGTACCGGACTAACAGTGCATTCGGTTCGCTTTGGTCCGGTCCAAATGTCAATTATGTTAATTATTTCAGTATTTATAACATGGGCTAATACCACTACAACATCCAAACTATAATTACCACTTGTATCCCAACTTATTCAATATTACAAAAATATCATATCATATCCTATAACAATTGCGTGTCATTTATGTTCTGACAATTTCATTGACCGTTAGAAATAATTGGTCAAATGGTGGTCAAAGTTACGTTAATTATTGGTCACGTGGCAGAAACATGGTGGACATCATTGCTATAAGAACCGAACCAAATCAACGGTCGGGCCAGTAGAACCATCAAACCAGTTATAATAGCGGTTTGGTTTATTGTTTGGACGATTATTGATGGACCAAACGGTTTTGCACGGTTCAACATAAAATCAGATGAACCACCACGGTTTAACTGGTTCACTCTTTTAACAAAAAAATATGCTTTAACATAAACTAAGACCACCAAACCATAATTATTAATTTTATATATGCTTCCTCTTCTCATTCCAACCTTGTTGTTGTCGACTTTAGGTTATCCATTACCGACTAGAACTATAATTTTTAATTTGAATTAAAAACACAGGGTCTCTTTTGTGAGATCTGAATGATTTATTAGATATTTTGGGATGATATGAATTTGAAATTGTTTATGGTCAATGATACCTTCATTCTTATATGTTATATATCATGAACAGTTCACCAACGATTTTATAACGGTTAACCACTGAACCCTAAATCACTAACTTTTTCAGTTGAGCCTCTAGTCCGGTTCTGAAAACAAACGATTTTATAGGTAAATCACTGAACCCTAAACCACTAACTTTTTCGGTTGAACCTCTAGTCCGATTCTGAAAACAAAGGCGGACACATATATGCCATGTACTCAGCCACATCATAATTCTAAATTCAAAATAGATAATATAATAACAATTTTGTGTCTCCCACCCACTTCTCCTTTTTCGTTTCTTTTCCGGCGTCCCTTCATCTCTCTTCCTTCTCAGGCGATATGGGGGGGTCGCCGGTTGTCAAACCAGACAATGATGGCTCGATGAACCAGGCGACAGCAGGAAGACGCAGACCCATTGCACACCCCTAGTGGAGAGAACTTGAAACGCAAGCCAGGGTTTATCAATGGCTTGCTACGTCTTCAAACGAGATATGCAATCACAACTGAAAATTCCTTTTCTCAAACGAGATGAGAACAGCTATAAACGTAAAAATAACTTACGTCTTCTACTGAAAGAGATAGAGAGTACACTTCTTCGAGCTAGACGGCAAAGGCACAGGCCGACAACAGCACGCACAAGAGAAGCAGAAATAAAACTGTCCAAGTGTTCATAGAATCGGTAACTCTCTGGGAAATGTATCGACAGAAGGTGTTTCGTCTATCCGCTGAGGGAATCTTGTAGTAGTAATAGTAGTAGTATTCTTTTCCCGGTTGGTTTCTTAAACGATCTACCTAAAGTAAATAGAGACCTGCGGAATATCGATGTCGTTGTCCTCTTCATCTTCGCAGGCAACAACAACATCAAAGTGACAACGGTAAGAAGGCAGCTCAGCACGCGCTACTTCCCTAGCGAGATCGACCATCCTCTTGTCCATTCGATCTTTGTGCCTAAGGAACATGCTGTTGTACAGCAGGCAGCTTCCGTACGAGATACTGTAAGCATTCAAGCCCTTCTTCTTCAGCCACTCGAGAAGCTCCTTGAGAGTTGGATTGTTCTTGAGAATCCATCTGTCCCAAACTGTCCAGCTCATGTCCTGATGCTTGATCACCTTCGGTGGGACCGGCTCGGCAATGGAGAAGAGAGGAAGGGCCAGATTGGCAAAGCTGTTTCTGTAGTCCTCCAGCTTGTGCTGTGTATCCAGAACCTTGTAAAGCTCCAGGCAGACAAGACCGGTTGCCATGGCGGTGGATGTTGCAATGGCTGGTATGATCCTGCCGGCAATGAACTTGGCCTTGAGTTTGTCCACTTCTGGAATGCCATAGTTCCTTGCCCTCATGTTGGCCAGTCCAGCTATCAGGTCCATATGATAGTTCGTGTCATCATCCTGCAGAGGCCACCATTTTCAAAGTTCAGGGCATGGTCAGCAAAACTAAACAGAACCTAGAAATTAAGGCAGATAATAGACAGACAGCACCACATACTTAGTTTTCACTAAAAAATAGTTGACTGATTGAGTTAGAAGTTAAAGAACACTTTTGCAATCCAACTTCTAAGGAGCTATAAAAGCCAACTCAATATTAAAATTTCATTTAGCTCCCTTATTACTTATGCCCATAACAGCAATTTCTAAGGACCCACGCATTTCTTTGTTATATAATAAACTATGTTGGCACCTAACTGAAAACACTTTTTCATCTCTTTTACAAGAAAATAAGTTACTTAACTGCAAGACAAAACAGTGCGCATGGGGGCTTGCTTTTGACAAGGTCAGCAAGACATAACAGAACATAGAAATAAGGAACCTTACAGGAACAGCAACACCTAAGCACTATGATCTGAGTATCTAGATCTTGTATTCAAAAGGGGTGTTTTACTACCATCATCATCATCTAGTGAACTGTATAGAATCTACACAAACATATAACATGAATGAAGTGGAATGCTCTGGGCAAGGGCCTGATCGAAAATGTTAAATGTGTAAGCCCATTACAAAATATAGCCCCTTTAAAATGCACCGGACGCATTAAAAGGTAAACGGATCACTGGAAGCTAGGAGCTAGATAACCATAAGTTCAAACTGATTGCAAGAGAGGAATCTAACAGACCTTTTCAAATTGAATGGGAGCCATTTTGAATCCTGGCACTAGCTGCTGCCTGCATGTTTCCAACTTTAAAATCAGCTCATCAATAGCTTTCGCATCATCGATTGACGAGGTAGAAACATTTGTTGCTTTCTCATCTGTCTCAATCTTCACACCTTTCTTCGGCTCGAAATCTGGCACTATAACTCTGTTAATAGCATCAGCTATCTTGGCTGGAGACTTAACCCAGTCAGGCAGTGGAATCCCAAAGATTTCTGCACGTAAGATGGCTCCAGCCATAACGAAATGTAGGTGGCTCATATCATCAGTAGAGAACTGAAGCGGGCGAGGGAAACGCTTAGGAGCAGACCAGAACGGGGTTCCGCTGCTTGTTACTGCATCTTCAGGAAAAGTGAACGTCAGCTGTTTCACACGGTTGACAAAATAGTCTTCAAATCTGCAAATTGAAACACATGTAATAAAAGGTATTTAGAAGCAATGTGAAACATATGTTTTTTGCTGAAATAAAATCAGACAGATTTGCATGCTTACTTCAGACGAGCCCAAGTGATGCAGTCCTGGAACTCCACGCATCGCTCCTTCTCAAGACATTCAAGAACCCTTTCCAAGTTGTCCTTTGCCTGGGCATCACCTGCATTTTTCATTGCAGAGGCATACTCCTTGGGAGCCAACAGGAAAGCATTTACCTCTGCAGGAGTCTTCTCAAGCAAACCCTCAAATTCAGAACGAGCCCATGTCAAGCAGTGGTCTATGTTGTGGGGAAATGAGTGAACAGTGCACATGGGGGCTTGCTTCTCAGGCGGGTCACGTGAGGCACCATAATTTTCAGTCAGATGTGGGATGACCATTTGAGTGTTGCACTTGGCACCTAAGGTTCCAGACTCAAGAAGTGGCTTCTGGAAATACAAGCATCTACCGTCAATATAGAGCCTAGCATTCACATTATCAAGGGCATTGATCACCACAGTCAGGTTCTCCCAGAAATTATCATCAAACACAGATTCAGTTTCAGGACTTGCACGGTTCTGCAGAGCTTCAATATTGAAATTCGGGTTTATCAGAGATGCAGCGGATGCAGCAACAGTTGATTTGGCTTGTCCAATGTTCCAATCTCGGAAAAGGAACTGCCTGCTAAGGTTACTCTTTTCTATAACATCATCATCTGTGACTGTGAGCTTCCCTTGCTTTCCACACGAGACCCCCATCAAAGCTAAGTTCTTCAGAAACTCACAGCCAAGGGCACCAGATCCCACAATGAACACTTTCGCATCTTCAAGCTTCTTCTGAAGCTTTGCCCCAAAAACTGAAATTTGTGCATCATATCGACTGTTTAAGGGCTTCAGGTCATTGGGATCCAAGGGCTCAGTTGGAAGAGACTCAACCGAGTCAAAGTAGAAAAACTGTCCACAGACATGCAAAAGAGTGCAGACATGTCAGTACGTGTAAGTTGTAACACTACAGCACTAGAAGAGACAGAAAAAGCATTCCAGGATTATCTGAAGTTAGCCCAGACTTACCCCAAGCAAGGAACATAAGTTTTAAGAACAGAAGGGGGTGAAAAAGAGCCAATTACCTGGAATAGCGGGTGGAATTTCCCAGAGCAAGCCTTGACAACTTCCTGTCCAACAATACCACCAAACATGGCAGCCATGGGATTCAGCACAGCTCTTGCACCAAAAGCAAAATGATGAAGAATCTTTTGGTTGATTGCTTCAAGCTTTCCATCACCTGCATTATCATTGATATTATTAAACAATGACAGGAACCTCTGAGCATCATCCTCTGACCCAGCAACTGGATAACGGCCCAACTCAGCAACAAACTTATCCAGCGTCAGGAAAGCCAAGTGCAAGAGAGGTGGACGATCAAACTTGGAGAAGTCGCTCAAAAGGAAATCCCCAGGGTTCTTGATTGCATCTCGCAGGGTTTTGAACTTCAAAACCTTCGGTTGCTTCACTTGTGTGACAATGCCACCTTTGATATAAGTAGAATAATTTGTGGTGTCCTCTTCTATGTTGAATGAATAGGGTCTGGCATTCTTAACCTTCCTAGGCTTTCCATCATTGAGTTCAGCCATCCCATCGACCTCAGAGAAAACAACTAAGTCACCATCTTGAAGCTCCACCCTCTCATCGTCAACGCAAGCTATAAGCGCAGGGTTGTCATTGCTGATAGAAGCAATTATGCCTGTATGGGGATCCTCACCATCCACATCAAAAACAGTAAACTCAGGGCCGAAATCACAGAACACACTACCGAAAAGGCCCCGAACTTCTGACTTGATGAAGGCAATGGGAGGTTGATGAGTGTGGCAGTAGTCATCGAATTCAATTGCCTTGTCTAAACTAAGATCCGTGAATACAACAGCCTGAAACCATAAACAAAACCCTTCTATTTGTAACAGCCTGTATCTAATATTGGATATCAGCTTGTACAAAAAAATGCACTATAAATGCCCTTGTGCATAAAGTATCCTCCGTTTATTAAACCAGCTGAAAGCATTTAATTCTTGAAATCATTCCAATCTAAGATAAGCATCATTAATAGGACATAAAGAACCCATTACCTGGAAATCAGACAGTTGTTCCTTCTTGAGTGGGCCAGTTAAAGTGGAAATCACCACAGAGTTGTTTAGTTCTTGTAACTTCTGGATACAAGCAAGAGCCCTGTTCTTCCCAACATCTTGTTCTGTGAAGACGAAATTGCTAGACAAGTCCCACAACTCCACCACTCCTTCATCATGTAAGGTCACAGACTTGACTCCAGCAAGAACCAGGTTCTTCGCTGCAAGAGACAACCCAAAACTCTTAAGTCAATGAAGCATAAGAACCTTTGATGAGCCTTAGATGATGGAAATGGTCAATGCAGGATAAATCTACATCTACAAGACAGATAATGAGTTACTAGACCGATAATAAGTTACTCTACTTCCTAATCCGACTAAACAGTTACAGACTAGTTCAATATCAGCAACAACAATATATTGGGAACTAACAGCTCATTTCTCTACTGGAACAACGGACAAATTAGCAGATCTTACTCACCAATCTCAGCGCCGAGTCCATTCATCCCGGATATTAGAACATTGGAAGCAAACAGCCTTCGCATAGTCTCGCGGCCGTAGACAGCAAGCTGACGGCTGTGCAGATCCTCATCGATATATTGCTGGTTTCCGTTTCCTAGAGTCATGATCGACGAGCCGCTGTTGCTGTTACTGCTAGCGTTGCCGGAGTTGCTGCTGTTGGTGTTTACGTTGACGGCGGTAGTGGTTGCGGGAGATCCCGTGGCCGCAGCAGCGGTTTCGATGCGGTGCTTCTTGATGAGCGATTCGGTGGCGTTACAGATAGGTCTCCCTTCTCCTTCTACTGCAACCTCTCCTCCACCAGCTCTCTTCCGAGGAAGCATAAAGAAAGGTGGACTATTCACACAATTAATTTCCATCCAATCAACGACAGAATTATCACACCAGTAGGAAAAATGGAGCCAAAAACACGCAGCAAAACATCAGAACATTTAATGCACCGATAGAAGGAAAAAAACCTAGAAGAAGAATATAGAGCTGGGAAGTGAAAAGGCAGCTGGGAACAAACAAAAGAGTATGAAGCGGTTGATTTTCCGGAAAGATTTTCCTCCGAGCTTTCTCGCCGATCAAACGGACCAGCTAAGAGATAGCTCGGGACTCCTAACTTGAGGAAATAAAAAGAGCTCCGATGAAAGAAAGGCAGCGAATATTATGCAGAAAATTGGAGGAAAAGAACATACCGAGAAGAACGAGGAAGCAATCGGATCGATCGAGAAGGAGTGGGTAAGAAGAAGGCTTAGAGGTTTATCGGGCGATTGCTTTTAGGGTTTGGGAGGGAACGTGACCGGAGAGGATGAGGAGGTTCAGGTCGGTGGGTTCATTGTCGGCTTTTTGTAGCGGGGAGAGAGAGTGATAGAGAAGGAACTAGGAAGGGCTGTGGCATTGGGGGAGTTAAGACAATAGAGATGCAATTTGAATCAGTCTTGGGTATTATTCGATCTGATTCGCGATGGGCGGGTATTATTCGATTCACAGAAGCGTGGGGTAGGGTATGGATAAATATTTCTAACTCACCCTGTCCTGCCTAGCTCCGCAACTTCCTTGGTCCATTTCTCTGTTTTAAGAATCGAATCGGAGGCTGAACCGGACAGGAGGCTGAACCGGAAAAGTTAGTGGTTTAGCGTTCAGTGGTTAACCGTTACAAAACCGTTGGTGAACCGTTGATAGAACTGTTCATGATATATAACATATAAGACTTGCATATTACACTAATTTAAGAATGAAGTTATCATTAACCATAAACAATTTTTTTTATGGTTAATCAAAAATGCATTGAAGCTCGGGGAGGTGCAGACTCGCATCCTCTCTCTCAAAAAGTTCACTTGTTCATTACAACGTGTAAACTAAACCAGAAACTATTACAGAACCATCATGCTATACTATATCTCCAAGAACCTTATGCACCTTCAACTGGAACGTAGTTTGGCTGCTGGCAAATATTGAAAATTCTTTCATCACCTTCTTCGCTACATGAGATGGAGAAATTGTCACCAAATCACCATGCACTCTTGCACATCGCTCATTCCAAAGCATACTGATGCCCATTATCCACAGAACCCTTCCAACTGCTGATGCATCAGTAGGAAGGCTCCAAGTGCTCTTTGTCCATGAGAGTTGAGCACACCAATCTGCAAAGTCAGGGTAAAAACATATTTCTTGCAATAGCTTACTCAACGCAGCCCTACTAAAAGGACAACCACCAAACAAATGATCACGAGTCTCTACACCACCAGGGCAGAAAACACACCCAACATCATAGCTAATCCCCCAACTTTCCAACTTTTTCTTTGTTCCGACTCTGTCCAATATTACCAACCAGAGTAACACAATGCTTTGGGAAAATTGGTTTGCTCCATACAACTGAAGACCATGACAACATTGGACTAGGGACTCGAATGGAAGCTCATACCTGCTTGACTGAATATCGAGCAAGAACAGTGTCATCCCATGCTGATGACTCCCCTACTCCTATTATATGCTGCCAAGCCTCTACATTTCAAGATCTTTCTCCAAACCCAAGTGCTAACTGTGCTAGGTGGAATAGCCCAAATACTCCTTACTTTCACCCTATACTTCTTCATCCACGCCACCCAACGAGACCCTGCTTCAGCTAACAGATTCCACAAATGTCTAATTACACATGCCCCTATTCCATGTCTTAAATCACGAATACCCAAGCCTCCCTCCTGCCTTAATAAAGCAACTTTAGACCATGCTACTGGAGCTTTCTTTCTCTTATTTACATCTACACCCCACAAGAATCTATTGTAAGCATCCTCTATCAGCTTGAGTACCTTTAAAGGGAGCAGAAAAATAGGCATCCAATACTGGGATACACTAGTAATAACTGAATCAATCCATTTTAATTTCTCTGCATAACTCAGGGCTCTGGCTTGCCTAGTATGGATCCGTTCAGTGATCTTATCAACAAGACATTCACAATCAAAAGAAACTCACCTAGAGGGAACCCAAACTGATTAGATAACACTTGTTTTTCTTCCTGAGAAAGCCCCGCACATAATAATTGACACTTCTGAGGATTACATTAAGGCCCGAGATTGAATGGAACTGTGAGAGTACCTGTTTTATCCCATCCAGTGTTGTAGGTGATCCATTAGAAAAAAAGTAGTAGATCATCATTCATCCGCAAAACAAAGGTGTGTGATTTCCAAAATCTTACAACAAGGATGAAAAGGGATCTGATTACTTCTAACAGTCCTATTTAAAAGACATGAAAACACTTCCATAGCAATTGTAAAGAGATTGGGGAGAATGGATCCCTCGTCTCAATCCCTTAGTTGCAGGAAAATAGCCACATAATCCTCATTGAATGAAACACTGAGCATAGGAGGTTGTACACATGACTCAACCAATTTAACAAAGATGTCTGGCATACCCATAGTCATCATAACCTTAAACAGAAATAGCCAATCAACTGAATTAAAGGCTTTCATGAGATCAATTTTGAGGGCGCACCTAGGAGAGATTCTACTCCTATGGTAGTCCTTCACTAGCTCCGCGGCCATTAGTATATTATCACTAATTAAACGGTCTTTGACAAAAGCATATTGACTTCTGCTAATTGGAAGTGGTAAGACCAATGACAATCGATTAGACAATAGCTTGGAAATACACTTATTAATCACATTGCAACAGGATATAGGCCTAAAATATTTTATTCGTTCAACAACAGGAAGCTTGGGAATAAGAGAAATAATTGTCGAATTTACCTGACTAGGCATAACTCCAGTTTTAAAGAAAACCAACACAGTGTTCTCCACTTCAGTCCCCACAATCTACCAGTCCAGCTTAAAGAATTCAGCAATGTATCCATCTGGGCCTGGTGCTTTGTCATTACTCATCCCAAAGAAAACCTTTTTAATTTCTTCCCTAGTAACTGGAGTGATCAGCAAAGCAGCATCTTCATCAGTTAGCTTCTTACATAATAGTTCCTCAAAGAACACACTAGGGAACTGCGGAAAAGAGGTGTCTGCATTTCCTAGTAGCCACTTGTAGAAATCAACTGTTACCTTACTCACTGTTGTCGCATCAATTACTACTTCCCCATTATCATTTATCAATTTTTGAATAGTCAGCTTGTGATTCCTAGCCTTAACCATACCATGAAAAAACCCAGTATTAGCATCCCATCGAGTGATCCATTGGACCATCGACTTTTGCCTATAAAAAGACTCTTCAACACTCTGGAGATCCCTACACATTTTCTCCTGCTCAATTACAGCCTGTGAGTTGACTTCAGAGGGATCAGATAACATAATACTCTGCAAAACTTCCAACACTGCTTCTGCTACTCTTGTTCTAAGTGATAGATCAGAATAGACAGCTTTGTTCAGACTCTTGAGCCTTCTCTTAAGCTCCCCTAGGTTCCTATATAATATTCGATAAGGCTCCATAGTAGCCTCCAGTTGCCAAGCCTCTCTCAAAATCTCTTCATATTGAGGATACTATCTCCAAAACAAGAAGAACTTAAAATGTTTTGGTAACGAAGTAAGCCTAGAGCCAGTCTGTATAAACAATCCACAATGATCTGATACTCCAGGAGCAATAGTCTGCGCCGGACTATTTGGAAAACTATCCAACCACTTCTCAGTAACCAGGGCCCTATCAATCCGTCATGAAATTGGATTATTGGCATGTTTGTTCCACCAAGTAAACCATGAACCCAATAGTTTATGGTTTGTGAGCCGCATATCCTGAATCCAACGACGAAAATCCTCCATGCTTTGATTAAAACTAGGACGATTTGAGGCTTCATTATCTTCAACGATAACATTAAAGTCCCCAATCCAGACTCCAGGCTCTCTAGCCACTCCAAACTGTCTCAACTCATCATATAACTCTGTCTTATCCTGCACTTTATTTGGGCTATAAACTGCAGTAATTAGGCATGATTCTGTACCAGACTGAACACGAACACTAATAAAATGCTCTCCCATTCCAACTTCACTAACTGTCAATTGAGGTTTCCAGAACAGCCAAACCCGACTAGAAGCAGAATATTTATAATTATCTAGCTGCTTCCAACTACTATAATGTTTATTCCTTATATCATCAACATTATTCTTTAATACTCTAGTTTCCAAAATAGCAAAAAACTCTACTTGTAAATTTGAGCTTGTTTGCTTGATGGATTTGGTGAGAGATTTGGATCCATCATGGACTTTGTCAAAAATCCATTGTTTGTTTCATGCATTTAGGGGAAACAAATCCGTGGGTCCCACGAACTTTAAGAGACCAAATCCATGGACCCCACGGACTTGAAAGTTCCACCTATTTTGGTGGGAATTGATTATGGATTTTGAAGTCCATCATTTTTTACCAACATACCCTTCATATTTTCTTTCTCTTCTTATATCATTAAGGGCAATAAAGGTAAATTACACTTCATACATATAAACTTAATTAACAAAATCCATCATGAAATCCATCAAACAAATAATGGTGTTTCTCAAATCCATAATGAACCTAAAACCTTCATATATCCATGGTTTTTCAAAACCCAAGTTATACCAAAACCTTCATTTTTCAAATCCACGACGCAAACGAGTACTTGTCTATTTATGTATCTATGTTTCTCAGGGATATTGAATCCCCTGAGATTCCAACAGAGAAGTCTCAATTACATTTCCTCCTGTTCTCCCCCCCCCTCTCCTTGGGAGAAGTAGGAATCACAAACTCAATACTCTTTGGATTCAACGGCACCCGAGAACTAATCGCTGAGGCTGAGATTCTTACATTTCTGCTTTGATCTCGACCTACATAAGTACTTTTACCCTTACGAACCACCAACTGAAACTCATATGCATCCATCACCATTAACCACAACTGTCTCCTCAACCACACCAACTAAGTAGCAGCAGCTTTCCCACACTCCAATCCTTCATCCATCACATGACCATACTCAGCACACTGTTCACAACGAGCTAGAATATTGAAGTAATGAACAAACAAATTCAACCTCTCCTCTCCCTCAAGACGAATCCGAATTTCAGTCGGGAAAAGTGAATTTGCTGCCATTTCAATACATAACTTTGTTGTACCCATCTGAGTTTGAAGCTTAGTTGTCTGGTCCATCCACAACGGTGTACCCAACAAGCTTGCAACCTAATCAATCCCTCCACTGTCATATACTCCAGTGGCAACTCTCGAATTCTCCCAAATCGGCAACTTAGTGCAATCCATCTTCACCGATTGAATCCTTGGAACCCATTTACAAAGGAACAATGTTATTTTATGTTTCCCGTTGCCCACCCCTACCGCCCAGGTTGGTTGGGTTTTATCGGGTTTGATTGGGTTTGACCAGATTCGGGCAGATACTCCAATAGGTTATTGTGGCCCTTTTTTTAGATGGGTCCGGGTCAAACTGGGTTGGCCCACATGTCG